TAATCTCTAATAGCAGATCGGCTCATTGCAAATGAAGTTACAATAGGACGGACTTCAAATAAGTTCGGATGATTGCAGACCTTTCGTAATTGCATTAGACAATTGATAATACTTAAAAAATTTCCTGATCGAAGAGTTTCTTTGGTTTTAGACCGAGACATAAAGTCGTCATATAAAAACCTTTGTCGCTTCGATAATCGACACTTAATAATATGAGTATGCTTGGCAGGTAGTTGTTTCTCTACATCAATTTTTAAACGTCGTAGAAGATAAGGTCGCAATAATGTATGTAAGGTAAGAATAGCCGCACGAGTTTTTTCATCAAACCCTTCATTGTTTTCGATCATTTTATCAACAGGACGTGAGAACCAATCTTGAAATTCTTTTTGATTAGCATACTCAAACGACATATCATCATTACGTGAATTAGGTTTTAAAAAGTACAGCAAAGACCATAATTCCATAAGATTATTCTGCAAAGGCGTTCCAGTTAGTAGTAATCTTCTCTCGGAATTAAAGTTCAATAAAGTGTTCCAACGTTGAGATTTAAAATTCTTGATGTTATGAGCTTCATCAAGAATCAAGTAATGCCATTTCTTTTTCCTGAAATTAATTGCATCTTGCACTGCGAGATGGTAAGATGTGATACAAACATGGAATGAATGTTCTTTTGACCATCCTAAACGTTTTTCTTTACGTTCTTTTGGACTACCATAATAAGTTAAAATGATAAATCCAGGGCACCACTTTTTAAATTCCATTTCCCAGTTGATAATGACACTTGTAGGTACAATAATTAAATGAGGTCCCCAAACTCCTTTATCGCAAGCCAAATGAGCCAATAAAGCAATGGTCTGAATAGTTTTACCGAGACCCATCTCGTCAGCAAGAATGCCATTACTCCCTTGTTCATATAAACTAGCAAGCCAATGAAGACCATCATGCTGATATGCACGAAGTTGACCTCTCAATAATGAAGGTATTGGTGTCCATGCTTTGGTATTAGTAAGAGCCGCAATAGTAGTAGGCTGTCTTGTTTTATCAATACCATCTTCTAGTATACTAGGTTCCTTTTCTAGCTTTTTCCTCTTTGCACTAACTTTAGAATTGTCTGAACGATTACCAGAGGTTATAATAGCTTTTTTCTTAAAGCTTTCCTGGGACTTAGATATTAAGAATTTAGTCGTGAAATCATCATCTGTATCAGTAGATACTACAGAAATTGACTCATCAGTTTCATGTCGAGGCATTTCACCACCATTCTCTGGAATGTTTTCAATTCGAATAGATACATTCGAACTTTGAGAACTTTGCGTTGATGTTTCTAATTCTGAAAGACTATCTTCGTCACTATCATATAATGATAAGACAATACTTTTTCTTTTCTCTTGAGCACCATTTTTTAAACCTTTACTAGTAGTACCATTTGACACTGGCTTTGATTCTTCAAAGTGCTCAATATCGTCATTTTCTTCCTCGGAATTTTTATTAACGCCATAACGCTTTAATAATTCATCAATGGGAAGATTCATTTCATCAGCTAATTCATTTAATTCATTCGCTTCTTCTTCAGAATCTTCTTCAAGTTCTTGAGCTTCCAATGAAGCCTCATTATCTTCAACACATTGATCCAGTGACACTGTAAACTCTCTGTCATTAATGTCAGGATCATCACTTAGATTTACCGTTTTTATATCGAGAGATAATGTTCGTTTGCGTAAACTCTTTCGAAGTGCATTGTCTAATTGCTCTGGGGACGTTATTGAAGGGAAAGAATTTCCCTCATTTTCAACATCCATATACGCGTCTGAATCTCCATGTTGAAAAGATTGATCTTTTTCAACTTCTTCATCGGACATATCCGGATCTGTAGAACGATCATCTTCCTGATCCTCAAGGTAAAGAGGGTAATCATATTTTTCCATTAAATCCTCCAATGGAAGGTCTTTCTCAGCTTGTAAATTGCGAATTTCTTCGTCATCATCCGAAGATTCAATTTCCATGACCTCTTCATCTATTGACATTCGATCGTCATCTGATAAATTAATATTTGATCTGAATTCCTGCTTATCATTGTTGTTTGTATTAACATCGTCCATAGTAGTAGTTCCCATTAAATATTTTTCGTGAAATTCAATCTTCTGAGTAGCATCTTCAAAAAGTGCATTAAGTTTTTGTTTGCCTCGTCGTTGTTCTTCTTCGGCCACCAGCTTGTCATGCATATCATTAATAAACTAGAATATCAATTTCGAATTAATAATTAATGCAATATAAATTTTTTGAAGTAATATCTATGGTTATAAATTTTGATATATCAAAATATAAGATGATATTTGACAAACTAAAAAAAAAAATTATAAAAAAATATATTGTGATAACTTACTTTCGCTATTTCTCTCCACCTATATTTGACTAAGTTAGCTGTTGTTTTAGCTAACTTTTTGATTCGCTTTTCTTCAGCTTTTATTGCATTTGGCTCTTTCATCGCTAATTTGTTAAAATGTCCTAAAATTGCCCTACTGACTTGATGCGTTTTTCTTAACCTTTCATCACTACTTTTATTCATTCTTTTCGACTTTGCCACTACTCCGTCAAGAATGTAATCCCAATGAACCTTTTGGCGTGGTGGTTCATAAGCTGGTTTAGGAATTGGTTGTAATTTTCCTTTATTTTTTAAGACAAAAATACGATAATCAACGTCTATCTCATTTGGAATCCTAGCTGCCTCTTCAGCAGGGGTGATATCCTCATCATCCAAAGTGATGAACGATTCCAAATATGCTTCAAAACTTGGAAATTGAGCATGACCTCGCTTACGTAGCGAATACAATGACATACTACCCGATGGTGCATTATCACGATTACTAGTAGAATCTACCCTTGAGGACCTACGGTAAGTGCGACTTCCACTGTCAGATTCTCCAGAAGTATGCTCGGATGGAATGACATTGTGGAATACACGCGAACCGATAGATTGTTGTAACATACTGAGGATAGAATCACGATGTTTGTTAAGTGACCGACGAGTGGACATCCTAGTAGAATTTGATTGGATGCTGTTGGTGACTTGTTCGTTTAAAGAGGACCATAAGTTGTGATTTTCTAAATACTAAGTCAATCATTATTACAAAACGTAAACACCCATTTAGCACACCCCGAAATGAATTTATTTAAATTAGATAAATAAAAAAATTTTTTAAGTTTATTTATCAACATTATTTGATACAGAATAAAAGTAAAAATAAACAACTTTAAAACTCTGAATAAATTAAATTTAAATCTAATATGAATCAGTGTAACGGTGCGAGAAAATCGTACCTTAACCATACGCTCACTATTATCAGTATTTATTCTTTGTGGGTCGAGATCCCACATCAACATATTATAAGATTCCATATAATACAACTCTCGAACCAAGCTGTCATGTTCTTCAACAACTTGAACGAGGTTATCCACACGCTCCTTTACATGCTCTTCACGAATTATATCCAAGGGAGTCTTTGGCTTTTCTGGCATCTTTGATATTATCTCCGAAGAAGATTCTTCATTATTTGACAAAGTTTTAGCTCTTTTCGTCCTAGGAGTAACAAAGGTTTCTTTAGGGTAATTGCCATCATTATTGTTTGATTCATTTAATGTTGCATTTCTACTATTAACGTTGATTTTTCGTTTCCGATCATTTTGACGCGCGGATTGTCCGTTAACAGGAAGTTTAATATTATCCAAAGGTAACGGATTTTTCCGAGGTCGACCTGGCCCTCGTTTTATAGGAGTAATGTTTACATGAACATCAGAAGTTGTACCTATTGGAATTTCGTTATTTTTTCCATTAAACATTGGTCTTTCTGACATCCTTTGCGTAAAAGTATCATTATTTGAGATACTTGTATTACTAAAATGTGCAGATGGCGTGACTTCGACAGAAGTTTGATTACCAGATACCTTTTTTTCAGGTGTAGTTGAAGTGGAGGCTGTACCTGAATCAATAGAAAACTTCAAACGAAGTGACTTTGCAGTCATATTAGGAGGTCTCCCAGGAGATTTATACGATTGGGCATTTGGACGAGGTATTATAGGTGAACCTATGGTGCGTTGAGTCTCTGTTAAATCAACGTTTTTACGTGGTCGACCGGGACCTCGTTTAGGACTAATAATTTTAACTTGGTTCTTTGCAGATAAGGATTTCTTCTTTGTGGGAGATTCTGTACTACTATTACTACTAAAGCTATCATTACTAGTGTCTGTTTCTGAGTAAATATTATATCTCCGAGGTTTTTTTCCAATATTTCTTTGTGACCTCCGCGTAGTAGTTACTGCGGCACTATTATCTTGACAGATTACCACTTTTACTTCTTCGTTTTCAGTAAAGTCGATTCCGCTAGTACTTTGACTTATGTTTGGTGATATTTCAAAAAAGTTATTAGTTGTGATTGGGTCTTTGTTATTTATTTCGTTATTTGGTGGTGTTGAATTAGGTTCATTTACATTAAATTTTTCAGTGTAGGAATTGTTTTCCTTATGATCGTTGGAGTTTGACATTGTCATTGCACAAGCTACGACCATTGTAAAATAATATTCATACTTTAAGGACCTCAAAATAATATATCAATATGATATATAACGTTAAACTTTTGTGGCGAAGAAAAGTTTAACTCGGAGTTTTTTTTTTCTTTCGTCACTTCCTGACAAATAAAAACCTTTTGAACTCCCCTTTTACTTTTATGGGAGTTGCATGATTACGAAATTCACGTGATTTTTGTTATGCCTATTTAGGATATTATCGACCATCCCCAGTAGTTTTTGTAGTTTTACTCAATTCAAAACGAGAGGATTTTTATTTTGTATAATTAATTAGCACATACTTTTAGCTTTTTTTTTTTTTTGTCGTATATTTATAATTTTGTTAATGTGTGACATAATTAAGTAAACTCATTAAGTACAATATTTAAATTCAAGTTTCCATCCACATCTAAGTAAAAATATGTTCATTCCTGTTCATTCTATAATAAACTGGAAAGTTGTTTGCGTCCCAATGAATGAATAACATACGGAGCTCTTGCGGGTCTATCGGTTCGATTGGTTTCAGGAGTTGCATGGTTAGTAGGATTTAGGGGATTTGGATTCGGAAGAAAAGAATTAGTCAAATCAGGAATAGCAATTCCAACATATTCAACTCTAACCCGATGTTGCTGAATAAGATCAATTTTAAATAGCGCTCTGTCACGATCTGATTGATTATTATAAAAACCAACGAGAATTCGTCAAATCATTCAATAATATTAATAACTCTATCCATATATTTGGTGGTGGGCATGAATTAATAAAGGGCTTCGACCGTTGACCAAAAGTTGGCTTTTGATAACAACACCAACGTCAGGTCGAAACTCATTGCCTCCGACTACACCTATGCCATTACTAACTGTTTTCAAATTTGGATCGTGCGCTTCATATGAATTTACTAAGCGAGTATGAATAGATTCTTTATTGATCCCATCATACTAAATAATAGAATGTTAACCAGAATTAAACTTACTTTGATAAATAAGTTAAGTCTTTCCCAATTCTTTCAGCATTATATGGCTCATGTATTGCTTCAAGTACACATAAATCAACTTTATTCATATCTAATTTATCAGCTGGAAGACTGATATTGACGACATCTTGTTTTTTCTTTTTTAATAGCTATGCATTCGAGATCAATTATAGTCATTAGTCATACTTTTGCCTATTAAAAAAGTCTTAAAGCGCTATTAAATACCATATTTATTTGGGAAGTTCGCTGAGTCTGATCGAGCATTTCTACTTGTAATATTTTTCTCAAAGTTGAGGAATTGACATCCATGTTGAAAAGGAAAGTAGGTTAGATCTGTTCGAAGCAAAAGGAACAAATAGGAAAAGAAAAAAGTATTACGTGTTCCTTTTTATATCCGCGGAAGCATATGCCTAACTTCAAACTCCGTAAATTCAAACTCCGCAAAATAACAATTATTTTAAGGAAGTTCAATGGTACTATTAATATGTAAACGATATATGTAAACGATCATAGTTAAAGTGTAAAATAAAAAGTGTAAAATAAAAAATGAAAAAAAAATAATAATTAAAAGATTTAATTTAAATTATTTTATAATTTACCGGGACTTCTTAAAACTCGGGACAATAAAAAATATTTTAATGATATAAAATTAATGGTGGTCTTACTTTTATAGAAAAATTTTCTTTACAAATTTGTATTATAAAAACTTTGAGATCTTTGTTATATAAAATATAAAAAAAAAAAATATATTGTAATAAATTTCACATTTTGAATTATCTCCAAATAAATTTGACTTCAGGCTCATCACCAAGGATTTCATCTAATTCACGGGCACTACAACCTTCCATCGTACAAATTTCATCATAATGATGCTTACCATTAAGCAATCTTTAATGTGTACAAGAGAATATCAATATCAATTAATAAAAGTATTTATAATTTATAAATTCTTAATTTTTACCTTCGCAATTTTGACGGTAATTTACTTATTTGATTGTGTGGCTCTGGTAACACTGGATATTTATGAACTCGATATAAAAATCCTTTGATTATCCCAAAGGATATGAAACGTCTGAATGAAGTTTCCAAGATTTCCTCAAAGTTAATAGTTAATAAAAACTTCTAAATTCGTAAGTTATTTTTCTATACCTTATGTCTATATTTAGAGATGCGACTTGATTCTCTTGTACCCATTCTTTGAGAGTAAGCCCATGTTTCAATAGACAATATAGAGAAAATAATTTGGCAAATGAAGGTGACATTGTACCTATCAAATCAATAAACAAAATAAGCATTTCAATAAAACTTGGAATAAGTATCAACCCTCTACTTACCTGGTTTTCTAACGTATGATAAACATTCGCTCTGAATTGATTCATCCTCAATTATTCTCGTAATATCTGGTTTTACGGCATACACATTTGAAAACTAAGAAAGATCCAAATAAATAATTTGATTTTTAAAAAATAACGCGTTCAATTTTAATATACCTGAAAAATATCAACAATGATAATACATCCATAGTATCTAAAATAAAGGAAAAAAAATAAATATAAAAAATAAAAATCATTTCTTCTAGACACATACAACAAATGTTCCATGCATTTTCTAGCAAGCCCATAATCCACATCCGCCAATTCTGCTATCTTTTTAACATGATGTATGCCATTTATACGCGTTGCTATCTAAATAAAAGAAGTTACTAATAATTACTAATAAATTATCTTTAAAACCATCTCAACCGACCTTTTTCATCGTAATATCCCAGTTATCGTCCATCAACACTTCAAGGTTAACTGTGCAAATTGGTACATGATAATCATAAACTGGCGGAGGATTACGATAAGTTGGAAACAATTTTAAATTAATTGTATTTGCAGAGTCTATTTATTTATATAATTGATTAGATGACTTTTTTCAAAATGTAAGAGCAATAAAAAATAATGTAATAATATTTTTACTAACTTATTGGAATTTGGCATTCACAGTAACTATTAAGATCCTCAAGGAGTTGTTCAATAATATTATACATATAATACTTCGTGGAATCATTTGACAAAAACTCGCTTTCAATCTTTTAAAAGTTCAAAACGTTATTGAATTATGAAATTATGAGAATTACTATATATTTATATATATTAAAATAATTAATGAATTGACGCGTATAATACACAACTTACTTCTAAAGAAGTTAGAACTCTAGCAACTTTCCTCACGACGGGCTCATAACTCGAAGTATCAGCCCCACGATCAAAAACAAAACTTAAATTAAACATAAAAAAATTTCTATCATATTTATTATCTCTTATAATCACTGGAAAACCCATAACTTTATATGAATCAGTACATATGTTAACCAAATGTCCACATAATGGCGGTTTTGGTATAATATACTCTGAAATTGAATCAAAATCTATAATTGGTATTGACTTTTCTGTAGGTATTATAGAACCTTCTGGTACTTCAAATACTACTTTTGGCCCGGTTCTTGGATCAAATGCTGAATAAAATACCGAAACTAAACGCGGTGGGATACCAGCTTGAAACTCACTCTCCTGTTGAGCGTAATCTTGCATATTATTTAATTAAAAGTTGAAAAAAATGAATTCGTCAAAAATGATCGGCTGATTATAGGCCTGTTCATTACCGGATCGACTTAACCAATCATGTAACAGTGATGATAAAAACTTTAAGGGTAGGAAAAAAACCTGGAAAACAAAAAATTTTTAAAAATAAAATCGTTTCGCTTAAAAAATCATTAATAATTTTCAACTCCACTTAGTTAGTTCTATTGCTTTTACTTAAAAATTACTTTATTTCTTGAATGAGTTTCTTGAATAAGTTTATTCCAAAAAATGGTTTCAAAAAATATAAATGAAAAAAATACTTTTAGATTTGATCCTAAAAGTAAACTATTGCCTCTACTTTAGGTGATTTGCCAAATGAAGACTTTACTTTTGACAAAGACCTAGCTAAAGAAACCTTTCAACTAAAACAAATGCTACTCATCAATATTTTAAATAAAGATGAATATATTTCTATTAAAGATTATTGTTATTCTATACCTAATATCCTTTGCCTGTGCTTTTACTATTCAAGAAACTCTTAACCTTCACTATTATCAAAGCTATCAACAACCACTTTATGTAAAATAACATGTAAAAGATATTAACATTATCTATCATATTAATTTCATTAGATCTATAATAATATAATTTAACAATTAGGATTTGATGTACACATCATTTTTAATAAAATTTCCAATTTAGGAATTAATCAATTAATCAATTATAAAGAATATAAGAATAACATGAGTAGACATATTAATATATTTATATATTAATATGTCAGCTTAATTTAGATTAATATGTAATAAGATATTATAGTTTATTTGGTTACATATTAGTTAATCAGAATATAATATATCTATAAAGACTAACATGTAACAGGACATTATAGTTTATTTAGTTATATGGTGCCAGAAGTCTTAACTTGACAATTGTTTCAAATTTTCAGCGATGATCTTTTATCATGTGACAAGCAAATTGACTAATGAAAAATCAGTAATTTGTGTAACTTAGAGGAGATTAATTTAGAATATCGACACCCGACAAAATTTTTTTAACCTTGATCACAAGCATCGTCGCCAACCATCAAAATATTATATGGTGTACCAAGGATAGTAAAAAAATCTCCTAATTATTTTTGTTCAGTTATTCAAGTTTCTTTAATAGAGATTAGTAACATGAAGTTCTAGATTTTACTTAAAATAGGCGATCAGGAAAGAAATCTGTCAAGAAATTTTGACGAAGCTGAAGAATGATCTAAAAGCTAAGTATTAAACTTTTTAATTTATTTATTATAATGCTATTATAATACTATTATCTTACTAATCATCCATTATTTTTTCAATATTTTCAATATTTTCGGGCAATCTGCAATGTGACTTATATTTATTAACGGCCCATTTGGTGGTTCTACCCTCTAACCCTCTACAATGTATCTTCAAGATTTGCATGTGAATTTGCGAATAGTCATAATAGGAATGCTATCAAGAGTTTTAGGAATATGTTTTAATAAGTCTGCATATTTGTAACTACATAATCCTTTAACTTCTCATTTTATGAAACCCCAGTATCACTTTATAAAGTTACATTCACAATGAAACTTTGGATACCGTTCAAAAATATGCCCTAATCCAACAATAGTCTTTTCTAATGCTGATCATTGCTCAAGAAAGTCGGGTTGCAAAGATATTATTCGCTGTACATAACAATTCAGTCTTGTTAAGTCATCATCAGCGTCTTTTCCAGAACATTTTTTGCATGTTAAATTAATTTTTCCTTAGACCAAAGATTACGTTCCTCAGCACTCTTTTAATCCCCTTCAGTTGTCCTCTTAGCTTCTCTACTGGGTAATCATTTGGAAATATCATAGATTGAATACATTTATCTTTACGTTTATCAATATACCACCCATTATGCATTTTAGGTTGCATTCCCTCGGATTCTAAATTCATTCTTGTTACAATCAATGCACCCTCTGCCATAGCATTATGATTGGTCGATTGATCAAAACAAAAAATGCCAATGCATCCGGGATGCAATATTTCAAATATTGGAATTGCTCTTTGTACGAGTTGTATTATAAAAAGTAAGGTAAGTTGGTTTAAAAAATATTTTCTCATTTATTATGTATACATAAAAAAAATTAACCAAACCTGTTCCATCATATGTTCCGAGGTCTAGTATTCATCTGCTTATACAGAACAAAGAATATAAGCATTTATATCTTTGACATGCAGATGTTCCTGTAATTGTTCGTTAGATAGTTTTAATGGCCCATAATATGCACAAAGGAAATCTGAGACATTATAGAACGTCCCAAATGTTTTGGCGTAAAACATCTTCTTCCTCTCCAATCCAAATTCTTTGTCATTTATCATTGGCATAAAAGTGACATTCATCGTGTGTTACTTAAATAAGCTCCTTTTCTCCTGATTTAAGTTTAGATTCACATATAACTTCTAGTATATCACCATCAAATTCTTTCATACATTTTTTATATATAAACATTCTTTCTAACCATCCTTTTCTATATTTTACTACATCTGGCCTTTCATGCCCATTATAATAAACACCTTTTTTTCTTTCATCATACTTATATCCTCATAGATGCATATAGTTTCGGCATGTTTTCTCAGAAATGGTATCCTTTTTAATACTTTCTGTTAATTTTGGAAATAACGTTTCTTCAATATACATTTTTAGATTATAAGAAGAATGGGTTTTTAGTATCTGTTGTCATAA